TGGACTCTGTCAGCTAGCTGCAGTCCCCAAGGGACTGTCCTCCAGCTGAGGAAAGCTGCAGTGCAGCATGCTCCAGCTGTGCCCTCTGTAAATGAGGCAGCAGCCCACAGGAAGGGCAGTATAAAAACCCAGCTGCATCAGCTCTGTGCCTGCTGAGGGCTCTTCAGTGCCTGTGGAAACCAATCTCTGCTTCCTTTATGCAGCTGAAGTGGCAGAAGGGAGAAGAGCCAGCCAAGGGCATCTGACCCGAAGTCTGTTGCCAAATGTACTGTGCACAGTGTCTCCAGGGAAGCCCGTACAGCCCCTGTCTGCAGTCTGTCTGGCTACAGCCAGCACTCTCAGTACCTCCCTTTCAAGCTTCCCAGTGCTTGTCTCAATTGTGAGCAAGTAAAGAAGATTGTTACTTCTGCTACGCTAGGCTGGATGAAAACAGCCCCTGTCAAACAGGGCCGTAAATGTCAGGCTTAATGGGTGCCTCTCCCTGCTACCTCAGAGACTGACATATCCACTCTTTTGCTCATTCACTGTGGGCTGGCAGAGCTGCAAAGCCTGGGCAGGTCTGCTACTGTTGCTGGTCTTGACATGTTGGGGGGGAAAAGCCAATAAACAAAGAGTGCGGGGAGCGTTCAGCACGGCATATTCAGCCCTGCTGCCTTATCGCTGGAGCTGTTTGGCATGCCTAGTAGCTACTCGCTGTATTTTCAAGCTACTGAATCCATAGGGAGGGCAGGAGCCAGTGATTGTAGGCAGCTTGCCTTCTGTAGAGCTGACTTCCAGCATGTACTGAGATGCTCCATTTAGCCTCAAGCTCTTTCGGTCTGTTAAGCTGCCTCGAGATTCTTTTCTCCTGCTGATTTCCTCACAGCTCAAACCTTACAAACCTGTTAGTAACAAACTTGGGTCCCTTCAGCACACTTGTTTAGATGGATACTTGCATCTCTTGTGTGTGGTTGAAACAAGCAGGGACTTACTGGTTTCTGTGCAGTGGCCATGCTGATACAACCCCAAACACCGTCTCCACGGGACTTTTTATTAGCTGCGTATGAATTGCATGGTGGTGTGAACAGGAGAGAAATTCCAGGTGCCTTGGAGAGGTGTCAGGGGGGCTCAACCGTACTATGTAAGACAGGGTGTCAGATAAGGGGGTTTCATAGAACTCATTCCCAGAGATAGATTTTTTCCAAGTGATTTGGGAGCTTTAGACTCATTGAAAGTCTTTGGAACTGCAGGTCCTAAATTACTGTGGGGAAAAAATGGGACTTGTGCACCAAAGTCGCACAGGGTTTTTTTACCCATGATCAGTAATAAAAGAACCTGTACAGTTTGGGGTCATGGTGCAGGCTTTTTCATCTTGTAATGTACAGTGAAAAGCAAGGGTGAGCGAGCTAAAATGCCTGCCTGTTTGATGAGGCATCTCTGAAGCAGGGGGGATATACATCTGTGGGATGTTCCAATGCCCAGGGAAACTATACTGGAAAGATGCATGAAGTCATAGAGGTGGAAGAGTGATCATTTACCTGTTGGGTAGTATCTAATGAAAGAATATTTCTGACTAGAGCAGACTCGTAGAAATACACATTCTAGGTCACAAGAACCCAGGTATATCTATCAGTTACATTGCTTGCCTTTCGGTCAGACTAGTGATAGTACACTATGTTGAGAGTGCACACTGTATTTGCTCAAATAGGATAATGGAGGTTTTCAGCTATTTAGAGTTTAATGTATGCCATGTTTGGGACACGGTTGAGAGAAGCAATTTCTTAATGTCCTAAATAATGGCTTCTTGGACAGTTACTTGGGGAGTGTATAAGAGGAGAGGCTACCCTTGGCTTACTCCTGAGTGACTTGTATGGGTTGGTTTAAGCAGGAACTGTGGTTTAACTGCTAAGCAATAATGACTGCAATATAATTAGGGTCAGCATCCACTTGGGAGCAATTATACAAAAAACTGGGTTTGTAGCTTTAAATGTTTGGTTCCTTCCAGCTACCTTCTTTAATTTAAAGTCCCTTCAAGGCAGAACTGAAGAAACTAACATCCTCTGCAGCAGCAGGGAGGTTGTGTAAGCAAGTCCTGCTAAACTCCAACAAAGTCTAAGTGCCCTATTCTAGAGAGGAAGCAGAAAGGCAAGAACACACAGCAAAGTCCAAGAGATAGATCTGCTAAGAGGTAGAAAAGAGACGTCGTTCCAGCCCATGGAACCAGATGATTCCAGTGCCTGTCCTCTGACTTTTAGGTTCAGAATGAATTAATTTAGGTCCCAAGATGTTTTTGTCCGTGGGAGTCATAATCTAGTGGGAGGCAAAGCTCATGCCTACCTAGGGGCCATCATATGTAACGAATGCCCTCTGTCATTGTCCCCTAGTGCACTGGAGATGTTCATCTCAGTTGTTTGAGTTCTACTATTCCTACTCTATCCACTTTCTCTCTCTTTTGTCAAGGATTAAAATCTCTAGTAAGAACCCATAATTCATTAGGCAATTCATTAGCTTTGCTGGTTCTCACTACTTTAACTGGTTCAGGTTGTGATTGCCTTTGTCTGTCTGAAGGACTACACTGGCAATTAGCCTGCAGCCTCCGACCTCCTGCTCTGGGGGTCTAACTCGAATGAGTCACAGTGCCCAATACACAGACTCACACTGCTCAGCACACTGCATACCCAGCTCTTCTGAGTGAATGTAGCATGTTGGAAGAATGACTCCAGCCTTGTGCCACATTCCTGTGTGCTGCTTTGCACTGCACAGCTTGCTGACCTAGTCTCCTGTTCCAGAAGTCAAACTTTTAATTAAAAGGCCTGCTTTACACTTGTGCTACTAATGGGATCTTGTAATGGCCATGGTAACAGTTTCCATGATAAAAAAGGCTATCAACCTGGCCCCTCCTGCAGCTAAAGAATGTCATTGTTACCTTGAATTCCACAGTGGGGAAGATCTCGCTGGGGGTGGCTGATCCATGTGAGTGGGGGGCTTTGCCTACATTTTCAAGCCTGCAAAAAGTCCTGCTGGTAAAGGCCCTGTTTAAATGAAACAACCCTTTCCAGAGTTTGTGCAGAGCTTTTGAGCAGGTGAATCGTTAAATGCATGGGCTCGTGTCTCCGGCTTTGGTGACTTCCCTGCTGCTATAAAAGCACAATACCCTACCAGTTGGTTTGGGATGAGTGCCCAGGGTGAGGAGAAGAACCTTGTGGTTTAGGGATGGACTGGAATTGAGGGGATTGCTGCCATTGTGAGGTGTGTGATGGGTGTGTGTTTATATAAGTCCTATAATAACGAGGCCATGCCCGCACAGTTAGCAGGCTGTGCTTTCTCTGGCTCCATTATCAAATGAGCTGTCTGTGTATGAAAGGGAAAGAAACTTCTAAAGTAGTACGGCTTGGTGGTAACATTTGTGAACATGGGGCAAGTGATTTGTCAGGCAAAGGTACAAGGCTTTGTTTGATTTGGGATCACCTGAATCCTGTTTGACTTGTGAATGACCATTAGTCATGGCCCCCGAATCTTCAGAGGAACACGTGTCGGGTACCTCTGCAGAAATCTGTTACTCCAGCTCCTAGAATTGGGAAGAATCATTCTGTAACGGGCTCTGATTCAGTAGTTGCCGCTGTTTTGTTAATCAGTATCTGAGAAAGGAGGTTTCTCTTTTCTTTTCCCTTTGCCTGTGCTTGCACAAAGAAATTTGTACTGCATGGCAGAAAACTATCAGCACCCAGAGTAGCATTATAGTGAGTGTGTGTTCATTCATGCACTGTGCAGTCAACGCAGTTATGAAAGAAGGGGTCTGGAAATCATTTCATTGACGTACAAAGGATTCTGTGTTCCACCCCCCCCACGGCTGTTGGCAACACTCTTATGCAGCACAAGAAAGGCCAGTTACCCCCTGCTCTGCTTTCCATGTCCAGCTGTCAGAGAATAAACCCAAAAGCTGCCTGGCAGCTCAGTGAAAGAGGAAGTGATTTTTTTTTTTCCAAATACCCTAAAAATCATGCATTTACCATTTTTATCCAAATCCCTTCTTCCATCTGGTGTGATGTCCTGTCCATAGCAATGGCCTTTACCAGGTCTGCTAATGGAATGGGGAAGGGAAGACAGTTATATGATATCATACCATGAATGGGAAACAATTTCCCAGTCCTAGGTAACAATCCAGCTAAGCCATGGTTCCCTGGGGAAAGATAACTCTTTGGGTTGTATCCTAGCTACTGGGACACATGCAGTTCCATTATGTGTGTGGGTCAGTTCGTTTTCTGTTACTAATCTAGGCCCTTAAACCATGCTAATATACCTTTTTTCCCTGTAATAGGTTTGCATGTCACCTTCTGAACATTAGTGAAGGCTGGACTATGTCCAGACAGGAGGATTTGCGTGTTCCTCTTTCTCCAAGAATCTCTTATTCCTTCTTGGTTAGTGAAAAAAAGGATCTGGTTACTGTTTTCCTGAACAGATTCCCCACATGTTTTCACTGTAGTGAAATCACTCCAGAGAGTGGACTTACACTCCTGATATGAGCTGTACTGGATGTAATAAGGAAAATAGCTTTCCTTGCACAGCTCTTTCAACCAGCTGTATCTTTGCACTGACTCCTTTTTGAACTGTTGACCTGTTTATAGTGCCATGTTAGTCTGAGTTAGATTAAGCTCCTCAGGTAGAGGTCCTTTTTTTTTTTTTTTTTTTTTTTAATGTATTTGGCAAAGCACGGTTTATACCTATGGTGTTCTGTCCATAAGCCCCTTAGAAACATGAAGTTCTCAAAGTGGATCTGTACCACAGAAGGGTGAAGCTGCATCTAATCACAAACATGTGCTTGGTTAGTTAGAGGGGTGATATAAAAATGATTAACCTGAACCCCAAAAACATTCAGTTTAGAAACAGTGCAGCCAAGGGGTATAGCCACAGCCCTAAGTCCTGACTTTACTTCCATTGCACCAAGAATGTACCTGTCTTGTGCAACTTGTAAACATCAGGCTTCTCTCTCAGCCCCACTCCCTGTCTATTTGTTTTTGCAGTATCCAGATTTGAGCGAGGAGTCTGGGTCTCCATTTGTTTTCATCTGTGCCCATGCCCAAGAGATGATCGTGAAGTTTCCCATCAAAGGAAAACACAAAATCTGTAAGTTTTGGCACCCTACAGCCACCTTTTTCTAGCCCTTGTCTACCTATTTTTATCTCCACCCCTACTTGCGTTCTCTATAAAAGTTGACAGGCTTTGTGTGGCATTCTGTAATCCGCAGGCGTTTGTTTAATAATGCAAACACATCTGGAGTGTTTTCTTCCATGGGTCTCCTTTCCCCAGATGTCACCTCCTTTAAAACACATGCCTCTTCCCACTTCCTGCGCCCCTGCTAACACTTCTGCAGTCTTAGCCTCCTCATGTGCAAGTAGGAAATGTGTGTCTGCAGTTGATCTGTTTCTAGCCCTAGTACCTGGAGTCTGACTGAGCATACCAGGTTACTTGATGAAGTGGTAAACCTTTGTATCCAATAGAGTCAAAAACATCCCTTCACATATGGAAAGTAGCAAAACCACAGTGTCCCCATGTTAGCTGTGTTGGCAAAGGGAGTACTGTCTCTCTAGCGCAGTGGTAATTGGACTACCCTTCCACCTTTATAGATTGGAATTCAGGTCTTATCTTACCATCTCAAGGGAAAATGAGTGTGATGGGTCTCAGTTTAATCACTCCTACACATTTGTGTGTGTTATGAAGCTGCCAAACAAATAGGTTTGCTTGGCTCTCTGAAGGCGAGGGCTGGGAAGGGGCTATGGGGGGTGGGTGGGCTGCAGGTCCAGATGGAAGTGCTGCCTTTGGTAGAGCTGTGTGCAGTATGCTGCAGGTCAGGAATGCACTGGCAGAGCTGTATAGAGAAGCTTGTGTAGCATCTGCCCACACGATGCTTGCCAGTGCTGTTAGTCCGTTTTTATGAGCAACCAACCCTCCACAGGCTGTTGGTTATTGCTGCCTGCCGCCATAAACAGAACAGAAGATGGATACAGCAGCTGGGCAGCGTACAATCAGCTTTGTCCTTATTAGCAGCATCCCCACCTCACAGCCAAGGGAAGGTGCCGCACATGGTTTCTGGGGATGGGAGAAATTAATGTGACAGGCTAAAAACAGCATAAGCAAAGAAAAAAAAAAGTCTCAGCTGTTTGTTTAGCAGAGCTGATTACTACTAGGTTTTCTCTCTAATTTGCAGTGTGTTTCATTGGGAGTAGTTAGCTGATGGCATTGAGAAGCAGCCGTGTTTCTTGGGAGTAGCTAACAAACACCTTTTTGAAGGATGCTGGCCTTTCCTCTCTCTGTTGATTGAGCTGTGTGGGGTCTGTTTGTTTTTCATGAGGCATTTGAAGCTTGTGCTGCAGCGTGTTTCCCCAGGAACTCAGGGGGACATGGTGGCTGGGTTGGGTTTGCTTCTTTGTTTATGCAGCAGCACTGGCATCAGGAAGGAGCATGCGGTTGCTGTCATGACAGTACTTGGTCAGCCCCAGCTGCAGGACTTGTGGAGGAAGCTCACACCTTGTCCATGGAATCCGTTGCGACCTGGTAGCTCTGATTCTGTTGGATGTGTTGTGAATCAGGAAGCAAGGTGGCAGGTTCTTTCTGAGAAAGGGGTCTTTGTGCTTCTAGTATGTCCCTATGATGGGCATTGCATTTGGGTCTCAACTCTGACTTTGTCCCCTTGGAAACTTCCCCCCTTTGTTTCGTGCTGCATCCCTGATTGCCACATATTCCTTCATCAGTGACTGGCTGAAACACTGTTGCGCTCTATGCTGTGCTAGTACTGGGCAGCAACCTCCTCTTGTCTCTGCATCTCTGGGTACGAGTGCTTCCTGGCTCCCATCTGTCGCATCGCATGCTTTGTGTTGTGACAGCTTCCTGCTTGAAGAGGGATCAGTTTACTAGACTGGAAGGGAGCTAGCTGTGCCTGAGGCTGCCTAAGTGCCCCCCTTCCTCTGCTGGCTTTGCCTTCCATGGCTCCCTTCTGACAGGATGTGTTGTGAAGGAGCAGCAGTAGGAGCAGTGAGATTGTGGAGGTTACAAGTTCCCCTGCAGGGAAGATGCGATCGATCATTGCAGGCTGCACAGACAGGACTTGTGACAAGTCAGGGAAGGGACCTTCTCATTATAGTAACACCCTCTGAGTCCTCAAACAAAGCCTGGAATGGGGATCCCTATCACATTCCCATCTGAACAGGCTGATAGGCTACAGCAAGGGTACACAACCTCCAGCCCATGAGCCAGATCCAGCCCATGGTGCCATATCACTTGGCCCACAGGACGCCTCATGGGTCCAGAAATTTGGTGGCAGGGGAGTAGTGCCATTGCTCCCCTGCTACCAAATTTCCAGGTCCATGGGGAGCCGTGGGCCCTGTGCAATAGATCGGGTTAGGGTAGTGCCGGGCCCCAGGATCCAGTCCTGGTGTGGGAGCCAGGAGAGCCAGCACTAGGGACCCAATCCCAGCATGCAGCGGTGGGAGGGGGCAGTGCCAGGCCCCAGGGCCTGATCCTGGCACAGGGCTTGATTCAGCCCCCAGACTGACTCTGTGCCACAAATCTGGCCCATGGGACCAAAAAGTTGATCACCACTGGGCTACAGGAGCGCCTGGAAATGTAACCTAAGCAGCAACCACCATGTCTTTTTGACCTGTACTTGTGAAACAAAGGTCCTTGGTTTGGTCTCACAGAAGTTGGGTTTGCCTCCTGTCTTGTCACTAGTTATATGGCCACCATCACAATAGCAGCTGAACACTTCTAAGAGAACTACTACTCTGTCTTTTTTTTTCTGCACTGGACTACTAGAAAATAGCCCCAGTTGTGGATAGAGTTATTGGTTGCATGTGAGGGGGCAGTCAGGGGGATTGTGACTTGGGAAGGGGAAGCTGAGCCAGAGAAATATGTTTCCATTTATTTCTGAATGCAGGAGGCCCCTTGCTTGCCCCATCATTCTTGTGGTAGTGTTCCCTAGTCCAGGCTTGGCTTCGGAGGGGCTCTCGCCTCCTGCACTCCCAAGCTTCCCTGAGTTGGTCTCCTGTTCCATCAGTAATAACGGAGGGTAGCAGCAGTGAGCTCCTGTCCTGCTCTGGGTTCAGGGAGCAGAGGTTGGAGGTGGGGCATTCAGTGGGATTTGCTGTCTGGAGCAAGAGGGGAAAGAAAACTTAAATGAGATGATTTCAGCTTGGAGAGAATGGAAGTCCCAGTGCCTGGTTACCTTATTCATAGCTGTGTCCTGGTTCTGCATAAGCTAGGTTTTCACAGGCTCATTGAGCTGGAGAGCTTTCTTGGTCTGTTGGGTCCTTGGGGATAAGGAGAAGCAACTGCACTTGGGATGTTGGTGCTGAATGTGAAGCCAAGCGCCTTGGCTTGTCAGAGCTCTTGACAGTACAAAATGGAAGCAAATAGCTGACTTTGTCACTCCCCTGGCATTCTCCTCCTGCTGAAAAACCCGGCGTTCTGTAACACGCTGGTCTGGCGTGCTTGGCAGTTGGAGCTCAGAATGGATTGGACATGTGGTGTCTAATCACACCTCCATTTCAGCCAGAGGAGGCTCATTCCAAATCTTCACATCATTGTAGAAGCTGAGGGTGGAAACACTCTGCTAGGGGCAGTCAGTCCCCAGGAGGCGGCTTGGGTATCGGAGATGCCCTCCAGTAGATTTTCTAGGACTTGGGCCATTCCATTTCTGCAATCACAACTCTAACTTTCCCTTGGCTGCCCTTCTTGCATGGTGGCTGAGAGCCATGACAGGGGAAGCCTGCATGCTGCACCCTGCAATTCTGTTGCTGATTGTTTTTGCAAACCCTCTTTTTGTCCCTCTGCCCTCCCACTGGAACTGTGAGCAAGCGTAAGAGATGAGCAGTTCTGGGCTTTGCAGAAGAGTTGTGTGCCCCAGAATCCTAAACCCTGAAAGCTCCCTGTGGAGTACAGATTATAGCAGAGGGTTGGCCAGGTAGCAGACTCAATACTGAATCCAGGCTGAGGACACTTTTCAGGCTGAGGATCATTTTCAGGGAAATCTGCCAAACCCAGAGAGATACAGGGAGAGGAAGCATCTGGGATTTGATGCTCCACCCCTGTTCTGGCAGGAGTTTCTGAGCAAAGCAGCAAATACTGTAAGCAAGGCATCCTCATGAGTGATGACTGCTAGGCTGTCACTGCTTTGAGCTGGAATTGGTCGCCCAAGATACTATTGTTTTTCAGACAGAGAAAGCATTTGTCTCCGGGGTGGGGGAATACTTCCTAAGCCCTGCCAGCATGTGCCCAAGTGGCTTCTGTGCTCAGACCTGGCTCTGAAATGTTAAGAGCTACACACACAGCAACTGCATGCAGTCGTCTTGTCCTTCCAGAACTTCCCCACTGCCCAAGATGGTCCTGTTTCCCAGTCAATGTGACCTTGTGACATGGGACCAAAGCAGAAATGTTGTGGGACGGTCCCATCCACCAGGATGAGATGGTACAGTAACCTAGAGAGCAGAGCTAGTGCCCAGCTGGGCGACGTTCTTCAGGGCTGTGACGACAAGCTTTGACTTTTCATGGCAGAGTTCTGTTGGCTTTGCTCTGAAGGGAGATCTCACCTGCCTGGAGGCAGTTGCTGTCAGCCCAAGTCACTGCTGTTCGCCTGCCAGTGTTCGATAGCACTGATCCCAGCTCCCATGGCAAATATATAGCTGCCTACTCTGCTTGGAGAAACCTCTGCAGGCAGTAGCAAGCATTATTTAACTCCTGCCCCTCTGTGCAGGGCTTCTGGGCAGCAGCTGCTTGTGCGCTCAGTCCTGCCAGCCCAGGCTCTGCTTGGACAGCAGCATGTGTCGTTGTGGGGAGAGAGAGTGCTCCAACGGATGGAGCTAATGAGTTCCTGCTGGTTATGGATGAGCGTGTTTAAAGCCAGCGAGTGCTCTGACAGAGCAGAGATCAATGCAAGCCGATCCCCCTAACTAATGTTCCTGTCTCGCCGAGCAATGGATGGGGATTGAGGGAGCCGCTGCAGCACGCTGGTTAAGGAATACAAATAACAGCGAGGGAGGTGGCTGAATGCGTGCCCAGGCTGTAAGAGCTGAGGGCTGCCTCTGTCTGCCACGGGTAGAATCCAGCATGGCGCAGAATCTTCCAGTGTAAGTAGGGGCTCTGTGGGGTCACGTGGATGAGAGCACAGGAGATGGGAGGTTTGATCTGAGAGCAGGAGGGAAGAGTGCCTGCCCTGGCTTTGGCTGCATGTCCTTGGTCAGAGGAGCTGTCACCCCCACAGCGAAGAAGCCGCCTTGATGATAGGGCAGGAGCAGTATGGAGCATGCCAGTGGCAGGGCGCCCCCCCTTGGGCAAGGAGGAGTAGGAGGCAGGCCAGGGCCACCCAGCCACTGCTGGGAAGGGCCAGAGCAATTTCTATTCTGGCTGGAACGATGTGTTATGAGTTTTGACACCAGCCATCAATCTGCCAGGGATCAAAGCATCTGCACAGAGCCAGGAACCCTGCAGCCCTCTCTGGAGTGACCGTGATAACTTAGGAGTGCCTTGCCTCTCTCTGGCTGGTGGTTGGTGGACCTGCTGCTGCACACCCCTCTCTGGGAGGGCAGGGCAGAGATGAGTGGAGACTCATGGGAGACCAGAGCCACATGGCGTTATTTTGGCTGTTGCCTGGTTTGTGGAAGTCTCAGCACTGTCAGAAACCCGGCTACGATTTGTGGGTGCACTGAATGGGAAAGAAACAGCATATATTGCTCTGGAGAGCTGGGATATGGTTGGTGGGGGGAGATGAAGCAAAAAGAAGGGAACCTAAGTCATGACCTAATGCAACAACGTGCCTAACTGCCCAAGGAAGGCAGGGTCAGCCCAGGGGCCTGCTGCTGTTAAGAGGGAATGCCTAGCTGTGGGTATAGCCATGTGGTGTCCCTGGGCTGCTTTGTGCTGAGGTGGGAGGCAGTGATGTGCTTCCCGTTAGCAAGGCTTCAGTCTGGAGAGACTTCTTAGCCAGAGCCCCACAGACTGCAAACTCTGACTCCTACAGCATGTGGCCAGCCCTTTGTCTGTTAGGTAGTCACACAAGCCTCCAGCCTTCTCTACTGTGCTTCTTCAGGTCACTGGCCCTGTGTAGCAGGGAGCCTGCTCTGACTGAGAAGGGCAGGTTTCCATAACATTGTGGTGGCGAGGCCCATGTTACGCAGCAAGCTGACATGTTGCAGGGACATCTCTCCCATGCAGTGCCTGGGGAAGATGCGCTCAGTATGCATAGTCCTGAAAACACATCATGCATGGATCCTACTGCTGAGCAGAGCTTGTAGCCAGGGGAGCTATGGAGGTTCACTTCTCCTCCTCCTTGCCAAAGCCCCCCGTAATTTCCCCCCTGCATCACACACGATGCCTCCCAGCTCCCTGTGTCACGCCAACAGAGCGAGACACTGAGGTTTGGAAATGCCTGCTTCCTCAAGCAGGATAATTGAATGTGACAGGAACACACTAACTAGGAGACCTTGCTGCCTCCAGCTGATTTGCATTGCAAATTGCATTTAAAAATAAAGAATGACTTTCTTTTTTCCCCCTTCCCCCTCCCCTTTCTTTCCCCTTCACAGGGAAACTGGATTCAAAGATTCATCAGGGAGCAAAGAAGGGGTTAATGAAGCAGAAAGCACTCCTGTGAATGGTGGGACAGCCAGGCTGAGATTCCCACACAGCCCAGGATGCTGGCCCAGCTGGCTGCCTGCTCTGTCTCCTTGGGTCCCTTAGAACTGGAGGCTGCAAAGATGACATGGAAAGTTCTGAAAGGCAGGTGCTTACGGGAAGGGGGGGCACCTGTGACTTATTAAAAATGTATTAATATAGTATGATGTATTTGAAAGCCATTAAAGGAAGAAACATTAGTGCCAAACTCCCTGCATGGGTGGAGCCTTGTGCCACAAAACATTGTTGTTTGGGCTGCGGAACCCCCTCCCCACTATCCTCCTTTTAGAAGGCAAACTCAGTAGAGTGCTGGTATCTGGCTGTATCTGATAGGCCAGGCTACAACACACAGCAGTCCCAGTGCTGGTCCAGAGCATCCAGAAACAGGCCAGCTCTGGCTTCAGCCAGCAGCTCCTTCTGTCTCAGCAGGTTTGATCTGGCTTGGTCTTTGCTTTGGCAGGATTCTTCTCTCCAGGCAACTTGGTGATGTGACAGATTGTGACTCTAGGTCCTCTGGCCAGAGAGGGTCAGACACATTATAGCACTAGGCTTGAGGGAGCTGTTGCTGCAGCTGCTCAGAGAGATGCCTTAGCATTGATTCTTGCTGAAGCTGCCCCCTGCCACTGCGACGTGCCGTGGCCTATGTTATAACATGAAACATGGATAACTTGGAAGGGACCAAGGCAGAAGAGGTCTAAATGTTAGCAATACTGAACTGCACCCCCAGCCCCTGAGCTTTGTCTGTGCCTCTGTTAAGCATGTGTGCAGGGTTGTAGAGGAAAAGCGGAGTTGAATCTTTGCCCTCTGATTCAGAAGCTTTGTTTGCAAGGCTGCTCCTGTGAGCTGGGAGCCGCTGCGCTTGGCATCTTCAGCATCTGCACAGCCTTAAATCTCCCTGTTCTGATTTTTATCAAACCAGCAGCCTCCCCATGTGAGCTGGCTGCCCTCCAGCCGTTGTGTGCATGGCTTCAGAGAAAAACAACCCAACAACTTGGCGTTAGGAGCAAGATTAATTTCCTCATTCCTTAATCCTTCATCTTCAGTGACTCTTTGCACTGACATGCCTGTGCCCATTATGCACTGATGCTCACTGGGTTGTGTGCTCTTTGCCTTGCATTGCTCTAGGCATTAGTTGGCCGTGGTCTAAGCACTGCTGATTCCCAACAGAAACTTGCCACCTCCCAGAGAGGGCAGCACAAGCGTAGAGCCTCAAAGCCTCCTGTAGCTCCTGTCACTGGAACTTGGGGGCAATGCCTGGTCACAATCTGCCTCTGGAGAGGGGGCTGCTTCATTAGATGTGCTTGGCTTGTTGCATGGTTGACAGTTAAATGGGTTCAGAGGCACTCTGACCTCTCTATTGCATCTTTCTATTACCCCAGTGTGCTGGCAGCCTGTAGGGCTCCATGCCATCTTTGCTTCTGTGTCCCAGAATTAAGCAATGGGAGGCATAGGCAGCAGCAACCAGCAGGACACTACCAGGCAAGGTGCTAATGCTGCCTTTATCCTGGGAGTAGTCTCTGCCCAGCTTGTGTCACTCCATTCATTGAGGCTCTGGGGAGGGTGAATATGCATCAACATACAGATGTGTGTGGATTTTAGCTAGGAAAGCCTGGGTGTGCCTCGGTTCTGCTGGGCCTGGGGTCAGCTGTGAGGCTACCTTGTAGACACTGCCATCTCCTGTGACTGGGAGATAGCGGGGTTTCTCTTGCTTGCTTTCTCAGCTGGACTCTTGTGGCTGCTTCTCATCCTGCACAGCCTGTAAAATCCCCACTTTCCATCCCTCTCCAGCTGGACTTTGACTTCAGGGCCTTCCTGCCCTTGTCACATCTGCACTCCTGTGTTAGCCTCTCCAGTGTTAAATGTCTTCTTGGTGGCCTCTGGTTCTGGTGTGGCTTCACTCTGGGTGTTCTGCACACATCAGCATCTTGCTCCCAAACTGGGACTCTCACATTAAGCTGTGTGTCTCCATCAACCGCAGGGGTCAAGTCAGGAGGGAGATCATGGGACTTGGAAGGATTGGGAGGAAGGTTGTCCCACAGGGCTCTTGTGCTCTATAGTGATTGTCAGTGCACGGAGGGAAGGAGAAACTCAGCATGGCTGGCAGAGAGGCAGAAGAACTTGACAGTGGAGGAATAACAGGCAAGACATCTGGATCCCTATTGCAGGGGTCCCTGCAGCCCCCTCTGCTGGTTGCATGGGCACAAGGGAGCTAAAAAGCTGGAGGATGTACCTGAGCGGGGAGAAGAGGAGGGACATTCCCATGGTGTAGGGCCAGCAGAACAGCTCCCAGTCCAGCCCTGACTGGGAACATGCTGCCATTTGGGTGTGGGAGCAGCGTTCTGGGCAGGATGGTTTCCAGGAGAGTCATCTCCGGCAGCACCAGTTGGAGTAGCCCTTCTACTGCTCTCACTTACTGGAATGGCTATCTGCAAAGGGATGGCACAGCCCTGGGATGCCAGGACAGCATCATTTTTTTTCTGTGTGATGCTCCAGAGTACTTTAACCACTTAAGGTTTTTATTGCTTCAGCTCAGTGAGCAGCAGGCAGTTTGGGCCTGTAGGTTCTGCACATGAAGCTAAAATGCTCCACAGTGAGATGGCTAATGGTGCTAGCTAAGCATCCTCATTTTGCCACCAGAATCCTCAGTTACCACCCGAATCCAGGTGGATTCGGAGCTCAGTTCATCTTGGGTTCCTGATGGACTCTGCAGCTTGTGCTTGGGTTGAGTCCACTGCTCCATCCCCACTTCCCTGGCAAGCTTCTTCATTTACCTCCTCTGAGGAGCATCATTTCTCACTTCTCTCCTTTAACCTGTCACCTTCAGCAGCAGTTTTTGGTCTGAGATTTTCCTTGAGAGTCAGTTGGGTACCCGTCTCCCTTAGAGCCCCTGGGAAATCCCAGTTGTCCCATTGGAGAGCCACAGCACTGTGCAACCCATGCCTCCTCTTTGTTCATCCTCCACTCATCTGGGTGGGCTTTGAGGGGAGAGGAAGAGTCTCCAGCACAATCCACCTCTGCTTGCAGTCCCCTGGGCATCATCTAAGACTTGAACCCTCCTCTTCCCTTGCAGCTCTCCAGACCTACCTCAGCAGTAGCACCATTGTGTGCCTCATAAAGTCCCTGCCTCTGTGCTTGGTAGCCTTATGATCTCACCAGCCCCTACAAGCTATGGGGACTAAGCCAGCTCAGCACCTGGGTGGAGAGGCCCCGCAGGCTAGGCAGGCTGAAGGGAGTGCTGCTGTTGCTTCAGTTGCTATGTGTGGGAGGTGCTGTCTGTCACAGATGTAAAATCATGGACCCTTTTGGCCCCCTCTGCGCCCCCTGGGTAGTTTCCTGGTTCTGGTTGCCTCCTGGAGCCTGCTGTGCAGTGTTCCCCTCAGCAGTGGCCCTTGTGGAGAAGGATGATGTGCACTGGTGTGAGTGACTTTTGGCCCCGTGTTCATACAGCACCTCGGGATGACAGGCCCTGGGGGAATGGAGCCAAGATTCCTGCCCCCTCCCTTTCCCTAATTCCCCCTCTGTGGCTCCGTTCTCAGATTCCAGGGTGCAGTGGCCAATTGCCCCTGTTCCTCAAACATACAGATGCAGTGCCAGCAGCCTGCCCTCATGTGGCTCCTGCTGGCTCCTAGTTCATCCGAGAACCCAGTTTGAAATTGCCTTTGGGCCTGTGTCTGCTGTGACATGCCCAGCAGTTGCACCCTGATCCCAAGGAAGAGGCACGGAGCTTGCCTAGGGCTGCTTCTCCATTCTGATTACTTGCACTGACCCCAGCATGATGGACTAGATGGGTGACCAGGACCTTCCCCTCTTCTTGATGCCTGTGACCAACTCCTTGCCTCCTTCTTGGACCTGTTTCACAGTGTCAGGATCCTCTGTCCCTTCCCCAGACTCAGCCATGGTCCCTTTGAGAGTCTTCTGTCCTGCAGCTGCTTCTCAGCAACATGCTCATTACAGGTCTCCATCTTCCCAATTCCATCTTGTTCCATATTTCCCAGGGAAGACTTGCTGTCTCCTTCTCAAAGCTTCCCACTGCAATGACTGACCTTGGGAGGGAAGGAGCTAATTTATATGTAATTCAGTATCTTTCCTGTGTTTTATACCACAGATAATCTTGTTGGAGCTTGATTAACTTTTTCTCTGAAGCAGCTTTGTATGAAGGATCCTGCAGCAAATAAAGTGCCTTCCTTCCTTCAGATGATTGATATTATTTTCAGAGCGCTCACTCCTTTCTGGTAAACACCAGATTTGATTTGTATTCCTGCAGAGCCTGGAGGAGGGGTTGTGTGGCAAAGCACTTGGGGCATCTCGCTATGGCTCAAGAGAACCTCCTCCAGGCTCGTGCCAAAGGCTGCTGCTTGACTGTCAATCCACGGTGAATGGGAGGGTACCCAGTCCTTTGGGGTGGGGAGTTCAAAGTGGCTGGGAATAATTCAGACTATATCACTCGCTTGTATGCCATTGGCTATAGACACCAGTGTGCCTTAATCACACAAACTGTGTGGGCTGGTAGGATTGGGAATATCTTTGACATGACCTTTGGAGCCTGCAGCTGAGGTCACAGCTGCTTTGGGCAGATGATAACTGAGCTGCTCCCTGCCCCAGAAAGCCTTACAGCCTCCAAGGGTGAGGAAGAAAGCAGAAGCAACTCTTCTAGGCTGACATGGGCTCTCTGGAAGAGCCAGGGATCAAATTCAGCTCATCTGACTCCAGGGTTGCTGTGTCACCCATTAGGCCAAGCTGACTCTTTACCCCTTCTGGGTGATACTATGGGGCACTGCAGCTTCCAAGCCTACCCTTCAGAGCAGTGACCTGATAGATCTCTGCTATGTGTCTAGCTCAGCCTGAGGCAAAACCACCCAGGATGTGTTGGCTGCTTCCCCTTTCCCCTTATTTCATTGATCACTTATCCTATTACTGCAACAGAGCCAAACCCTGCAAATTGTGGCATCCCCACGTCTGCTGCCAATGCCTCAATCCCTTTTGTACCTTTGATATTGCTGCTCAGGGCTGTAAAGAAGGCTGGGAAAAGCACAGAGTGCTTTTCAGAAAGCGCTTAGGATTGCTAGGCAAAGAAAGGGTGAACCAAGCAGAGAGAGAACAGAGAGCAAGCAGAGCTCACTGGTCTGTGAGCTCATCTCCTTCCCCAGAAGCAAGGCTGCCAGGACATGAAGGAGTTCAAGGAGAATGTATTCATTTCTCATCAGACCTTGT